ATAAGTGAAGTGATTGGACGATAGTTCGATTTGTCTTGTCTGTCTCCCTTTTTAAATACAGGGGTCCATTCGCCTTTCTTCCATTCAGATGGCCACTCGCCTAAGTCAATGCAGTTATTGTAAAGTCTAGTCAGGGATGGTGCAATTCCTTCAGCCACAATATCAAACTCGAGTTGTCTCGCAATTTGTAAGATGGTGTAGAAGCTCACGAGGCATTTGTATTTAGGACAATCTATCTGATCATCTGCTGTCATTTGCGTCAAGAGAGTTAGTGACACAAGGGATGATATCTGACAAAGGATGTTAGCGGTTGGAGCGACTTTATCCACCACAATACTGTAAAATATGGTCATTAGTCTGTCCATTTGGAAATTCTTTGGACCTAACTGGTCTAAACAATTATTCACTATCAAATAATGAATAATAATAGGTAAATACGCTTTTGACTGATTCTTCTTTATACAAGGGTTTTAAAAGCAATATCAGCACTCTTGGAGCAGAACCACCTTATTTAAAAACAATAATAATAATGGTGACTGTGCACATATCTTTCTCAACCTTAACAGAAAGAGGAATGTAATTTTGATAAGTAGATTCCTACTCAATAATACCACAGTGCTTCTCCTTTAAAGGAATCTTCCACCTACCAGATGTCTGAGCTCATTCAAATCCCTACACACAGAATAGAACACACTCAGGAGAAGCTGGCAGTATGCTTTGAAAAATTCCACTGGATATGAAGATGGGCTGTCTCTTGCCATGATCTGCCGCAATTCAGACTTTGAATATTCGGGAAAGGGAATGACAAAGGGCTCATAGAATCCAGTACCAACTTGAGACTTTTCCCAAAACATTTGACTGAGCAAGATGACACAAATATTTAGCTGAGTTAGTTCCTGAAGTCTTAAAAAGGCAGGAAGAAAATTTGCCTCGATATCTCGAAGTGTCTCTGCTTTGTCAAGCACAATGTAGAATGTTTCATTCATGAGTTCCTTCCCTGATAAAGTATGTTTAAGGTGGTGTAAAAAGTCTGTCATATTTCACATTTGGGAGAGGCATTCCAATTGTCCTCTTCATCTCGATCTTGCAGCCGGAATAAGATGTGCTCAAAAATCAGTCTTGCCGTAAAATTCTCAACACAGTTTGTTGAGGACATTAGCAAGAAGGCTCATCTTTTGATTGATTATTTTTGATTGATTAGTTTACTAATTTCAGAATGATCTTAGATAGCCACATAGTTACAGTGCTTATCGGTTTTTCTGTATTTCTATTGGTTTTGTAATCGGACCTTTCAACGTCACCACGCGCATATAAAAGGCAAGTTTAGCGTCCCTTTAATCAGTTCTTCGTAAGTTTTGAATAGTCTTGGCAAACTTTCGCCCTTTCGTTTTTCTCAACCTTTGGCACAAGCGGGACCGACATGTGAGTACCTTTGTAACTTTGCTTTTTCCTTTCCAGTCTTTTTAGTGTTAGGCGACAATATACAAACAAATTTTGCAATGATCTCTACGGATTTAAGATTTAAAGGCCAAATTAATTCGTGCCTATTTGCGAGTCAGTGAACGCCCATCATTTAGATAGAATAATGGGCTGTTTATCAGCCACCAAAATTCTTTTAGTTTGTTTCGAAACTTTTGTTCTGTTTTACTTGTGTATTGTTAATCTCGTTATAGACGTTAGAACCCAGTATTTGACACGCGAATCTTTGATTATAATTATGTATTCCGCGGCTTTTCATTAGATTGAAAGAACTTCGTTGTATTGTTGTTTCAGTTTACGATCGATCGTTCGATAGATTCATTGACTGTGAGAATAATTGTTATTTTCGTCATTGATTGTGGTTCGTGGTCGATTGCCTTTCAAGAATAAAGATTCGTGCAAACAGTCAACTTTGGTTCGTCATTTCGATCAGTAAAGAGTCCCAAACACCTCGTTAACCGCGTTTTGGAGCGACACGCCCTTGAACTTGAGAATTTAGATTTTGGTCGCCGTAAACGCTACACTGTTAACTAAAACATGTGGAAGCTGTTATATCACAGGGAAAAAAACAAAAAACCAAAGAGAGAGTTACTATCAGTAAATGATTTGATCCAAGGATTACTAGAGAATTATGTTGTGCGATCGTTTGCATGGGGTTGGCAGTGTTCTCCCATACTCAAGTTAGGAAGGACAGGTAAAAGAAATTTAAACCGTTAAAGCGATTCTTTTACTTGTTGAATTTTCAAGAATATCAAAGGATTTTAGACAGTAATACAAGGTACCACAAATGGTAAATGTTACCAGCACTGTCTGAAAGAGAGAATACAGGGTTAGTCCCAGAAAGGACTGCCATTTTCAACCAGGTTTTTGACAGCCTGAGCAGAAATTAATGTCTCTCACAAGTGAGCAATGATGAAACAACAACTCAAACTCATAAAATTCAACTCACAAACAAGTTTGATCATTACTTGACTCTGATGCCTCATGATGAGATCTGCTCAGCTTATCTAACCATCAATCTCAGTCACTAACAACAGTCTCTTTAAGAGCCTTACCTAATACACGCATGCTCACAATGTGATTGACAATATGTGTTCATCTCAAGTGACTGAGATGAAACAGTATGGCCTGTATACAAAATGTATCTTTGCATTCAAAGAAAGAGTTTGCAAATGCGGAACCATTCAATGACAGCTGTGTGGGAACAGGGCTGAATAATGAAATGCTACATCAGAGGGTAACAACAACGTGGGCTCAAGCATGCAAGGTATAAAATTTAATGAAATTACCGCAAAGTAACTAGAGCTGACATTTAAAACCCAGGCATTTTGTTGTCCTGCAAGACATATTCCTATTTCCAGAGTTTTTAAGGAGAAAATTAATTTTCGAAAAGTTTAAGAGAGTTGAGGCAAAAAAATAGGAAATCAACCATGGAAACGAATCAAAGTCTGTTTTCTATGGCAAAATGTAGGGCATGTACAAACGTTATTCAGCTCTGTCCTGTGTGGTTAGTTAAATGATATAAGGTTACCTCCCATAAGCCTTCAGGAGCCTATTTGAGTATGGTCAATAGCCCTTCGACACCAAAGAGTGCCTAGAATCTAATTTCTCCTTACAATATCGCCCCTGAATCGCGCCTAAAGGTCAAGAGAATAAAGAAAATGACCACCAATTGCAAGATGTTCTTGATTTTTCAACAAATTCTCTCTGTCAGTACCTTATTAGGAAATGCATAAAAAGGGCTGTGGTCTAGCAGCGCCCCGTGGCTCCTGGCACCTTACTTTTGCTCTTGAGCCACTCGCGAATCTTTTTCCATAAAAAGTATATGCTGGGCACCCTAGATTTCAGAGTTTCAGAGCACTGGGTTCGCTTCAATTTTTCTTAGAGCACAGCCTTGATAAAGAACAGTAATAGAGATTACATTAGTTATTTATGCTCGTTAAAACTAAAGTTACCATCCGTAAGATAGGGCAGTCTGTTTTCACGTCACGACACGCAAAGTCACCATTACAAAATTTTTTTCTTACTCGGCAATAATCGATCGATGTGATTTCTCTCAAATTAAACTCGTTTGAACTCACCTCCAAATTTCTCAACCAGTTTTCAGAGTATGGCAAGTGCACGCACGATTTCCTTTTGTAAACGTCCATTTTGCACGCAAGAATCGCTGCATTTCACGCGGTAGCTGTAAAACTAAGATATGCGAAACGTTTGAAGAATACTTGTTTTTCCCATTTTTGGAGTAAAACTACTACAAAAGGCGATCAGTCTCAGCCTTAGTGTCTTTTACCTACACTGTTACTCATGATGCATCAAAATCGTTTAAAATTTAAGAGACTTTGTTAAGGATGACAGTATTGACGCAAAGAAAATCTAGATATTAATTTCACAGAGATGTCAACAGTACTTCCACATGCAACGTCTAGCTTTAGCCTTTAAAGGCGCAAACAACTACTGTAATTAAGTACATAATATTTTGAAACAACGATGCTATTTAACATTTCTAAGTTTCCTCAATGTTTCTAAGAATTTCATTGTCGTTTTAAGCGTCGATCTTTCTCATTAAGAACAAAAAATCTGTTCTTGCAGCTAATCGGTCAAGTACTTTGCTTCGGTGTGCATACTTGTTTAAAGCACGACCTCTTTCATCGAAGAATACAGGCATTCGATGACGTGGAAGTCCAGCATCTTTATCTCCATCTAAATAAAGGGTAGCCACATCTTTAACTGTTTCTTCACACTGCACTGGCATTGGAAAACACCAATCAACGTTTGTTCTTTCGACAAGCGTGTCATTTAATTGTCCTCCTTCCATTTTTTTATGCCTTCATCACAGAGTAAAATGACTCGACAACTGCCAAAGAGCCACTCATAGCTGAGTGCAACATCGAGTGCAATACAAAAGGTGGTATGATGTTGTCCATAGCAGCACTGTATGGTGAAAAGTTGACTTTGATTTTCAACGTAGACTCACGTCAGATATTCTGGACAAATATATCTATCCAGGGAGTAAAGAAATTATGCTAAGTGAATGCTGTTTTCTCGAATGGGAAAAACTATGTTCAATTTTACGCCGTTGCAAGAAAATTGACGATCTTATAGTGCCGTGGATTGTTTATTCAAGAACAATAATTGTTCCAGATTTTACGCAAACATTGAACATCGGCCATTTACAATTTTTGGAATTAAGTCATTGTAGAGTTACAGACTTGCTCTTCAATCAGCTTCCCTCAAAGTGCCCACTTCTGAAATTTTTTGTTCTACAGGACTGCCACGAGATAGCCAGGGAAGCTTACATAAACTCCCATTTTAAAACACATGGATGTCTCACCCTTATCAATGTAGCAGGAAATAGAGAAGC